ATCCTGCAGGGCCCAGCAGGCCGAGCCTGGCCAGGAAGCCGGCCCCCAGCAGCGTGTCCAGGAATTCAAGCCGGCCACCGGCCACTGGCTGACAGCAGCGAATGCCTTCAGAGGGGGTAGTGACTATGGGCCCTGCCCCAGCCCCCAGTCCAGGACCAGAAAGTCGCTGAGGCCAGGCCCCAGACTCCGGCCTGCCCCCAAATGTCCCTGGGAGGAACTGATGCTGACTGCCCAGGCTGGAGGCCTCCCTGGGGCTGCCTCTGCAGGGTGACCTCTTTGCAAAGTCTTGCCTCAGTTCCACAGAGGAGGGAGTGGGACACAAGTTTGGGCAAATGCCTGTCCCGAAGCAGGGACTTAGGGAGGAGAAACTGAGGCAAGTCATATCCCGAAGGGTAAGTGGCCGGGACCACAGGGGCTGAAATTTATTTTCTTCCCTCCCCCTGTCCCAACCTTATCTCCTCAGATCTCTCCCTCTCATCCTCAGCGGTGGGAGAGAAAGATTTGCACAAAGTTTGGAAGGGAAAGGGGCTGGGGCTAAAAGGGGGGGTCACCGTTTAGGGGGTCTAGAAAAAGAGGGCCATCCATCTCCCTAGCACTGTGGGGCTCATAATGGACCAGAGGTGGGGGAAGCAGCCCTCCAGTGTCCAGAGCCCAACTCTGTCACCTTGTCCGGGAGAGGTGTTGGGAAGAAGAAGGGGGAGTGTGGGGGACAGTGCCTGTGGAGAGAGTGCTGGTGCTTCACGGGACCAAGCCAGGGACCAAGCCAGGGACCTTCAGCTACGGGCCACTGGGAGCCGAGCCTGTGTCCCAGGAGGAAAAGCTGTCAGTCAAGGTTGTTTAGAGGTTTGGGAATCCAGACAGAGTAGGACAGGAGGAGCTGTGAGTGCCCATGGCCCCAGCCCTGGGGAAGGATGGGTTTTGCAGCCCCAAGGTACCTGCCCTTAGCTTTGCCCCCTTTCCATGTCCAGCTGCAACTGGGCAGACCCTACCACCCTTTCCTTTCAGCTTGACTCCTCAGGGCCACGAACTCCCTTCCCAGCCCAGCCAGCATCCTTCCTCCTCTGCTCCGAGGGGGCAGGAGTAGGTGCAGCCCAATCTCCAGTCTTTCAGTGGCCTCCTGACCTCTCTGGGCAGCTGGCTCCAGCTCCTCTCCCAGCCCTCTGGCCAGAGAGCCCCCCAGTCCACTTAGCCGCTCTTCCAATCAGTGGCACTCAGAGGGACCAGAGGAGCCGCTGGGGATCCAGAGCAGCAAAAGGTGGGCCACCTGTGAGAAGGCTGGTGTGACCTGGGTTCCTGGGGGTGGGGCACGGGGGTGGTGCCCAGCCTCCTGGCCATGGGATGAGGGAGTTTTGCCTTTAGAGACACAGCCCTCCAGGCCGCCCCACAGTTAACCCTTTCTAGCCAGGCTGCAGAACCACTCAAGCAAGGCTTTGCCACAAGGTCAAAGTTCTTCCTGATTTCCTGTGGGATCTATTGGGAGTCCCCAGCCAGCAAAAGGGAGGCAGGAAGTGAGATCGATGGGAAGGGGGTCCTTGAGCACATGATGTCAAAGTCACCAAGGTCCTCCTGTCCTGGTACTCAGCGTGGAGTGAGGAAAGCACAGGGTCTTTCTCTCTGTCTCATTTCCACTCATCCTCTACTCCCCACCTGCCAAGCCCTCACTCCCCTCACCTTCCCTTCCCTGGCCAAATGTGCTCCTCCACCTTCAGCCCTCAGCCCACCCCACACCATTCCCTTGCCAGAGTTCACTTCTTATGTAGCTCCATTCTAGGCCCTCCTCTGCCAGCCCTGGTTCATCTAGAGACACGTGTGAGATGGGCCTCTGAGGATTGTGCTCAACGAGATGGTCGCACATATCATCTTTAGGAGCAGGCACAGGGGAGGGGTGTCCCCAAGGCATCCTCTCTGGCTGTAAGGCTATCAGGGAAGCAATTCATATGAGGTGGTTTGGAGGGTGCATGTCCTCCACCCCCACCCCTAGAATTTCCTCAAGTCAAACGTTTGTGAGAAAGTGCATCTCAAAGACAATCTATGCCTGAGTGTGGGTGGTATTTGTATTTTTGGAAAGATTCCTGGGGCAGAGCCAGGGGGTTGAGCAAGAGGTGGTCAATACTCAGGGAAAGTAGTACCAGAACAAAGAATATTCCAGTGAAGCAGAGGGATTGAAATTAGATGCAGGAGGCACTTCCTCAGGAAGATGAGCTTAAGGTGGGGCAGTCTTTCCAATGACTCTAAGAGGCCATGGAAAACTGGGGTCTGGTCCAAGGTTAGAAACAGTCCTGCCTGGAGGTGGAGGTTGGGCTGGATGACCCTGTAAATCTCTTCCAGGCTCAGGTTATACTCTTTCAAATGGTACCAGGCCGCGTTACTAGGAATCCATAAGAAGAAAGACACCCTTTTCATTCCCTGCTGCCTGCCAGCCATGTCTCATTCTTCTGGCCCACCTTAATCTAGACCACCCTAACCTAGACCAATCCCCCACCCCCGCGGTTTGCTAACCTGGACCGTCCTGGGAGTTTCCCTGGGCTTGTGTCTTAATGGCAACCATCCTGGAGCAAACGAGTCCTTCCTTGGGTTTAGTGAGCCTTCTTGTTACAAAATGAGCCCGTGTCTTCTTGTTTATCCAAAGAGAATACAAACAAAAGCAAAGGGGTGTGACATGTTCCCCCACACATGGCAGCCCAGGGCACGTGCAGACCCAAGCACACCTCAGTGTCCTCTCATCTGATGAGCCTTGGCCCCCCCCCCCGCAGGAAACCATCTAGATGAGCGCACTGGGTGTCCCCCAATCCCAGTCCACATCCTCTCCATGTCTGCCAGCCCCACAGACGGAGAGGCTGTCCCCACCCTGTGGCTGGCTGAGAGTTGGCCTTCTTGCTGTGCAGCCCAGAGGGGTAGTTCATCTGGGCTCCAGAGCAGAAGCTGGCCTGAGGGGAGGAGCAGGTTCAAACCCACCCCACCAGCCTGCAGGAAACTGTCTAGGAACTGGGGGGAGCCTCCTCTCTGCAGAGATGCGGGGACATGCAAAATTGCTCCACTGGTTTCTTCCTGATTCGGTTCTTCAGAACCAAATTAAAACAATTTCTCTTACTCCTGACATCTCAAAAATGGACCCTCCTTCCCGCGCCCTCGCTCATTCTATCCTACCGCACACAGAGCAGCCGAGTGGGAACCCTAAGTCTAGGCATGCTTGCCCTTTACCCCAGCTCCTCCTGGGAGGTTACAAGGCTCTCCCTCTACCCATGCCCCACTTGGAGGGTCTCCAGTGCAGCGGGCAGACGCAGGAGGCAGGGACTCCAGGCTGAAGATCAAGGGCCAGACTCCCTCAGACCCAAGGCTGAAAGTTCACAAACCTGCTTTTCCAGAGGGCATGGCAGTCAGTGCCAGGGCTGGAACCTCAGGGAACCAGCTGCCAGTACAAAGAGCCTGCAGGAGAAACTGGGTGCGAGAAAGGAGCACATAGAGGGACTGCACAGATCCCTTGTCCCTCACTGGGGATTAAGGAGGTCCCCAGCCCACCCAAACCTGCCCTCAGGACCTCCTCCAGCGGAGGGCACCAGCCTTCCTCACTGAGGCTTCTCAACCACAGTCCTGCTCCTGCCAGCCCCACCCTGCCTGACACATGTCCTCCCAGAGGGGCGTGGAGTGGTTCAGACCTTCCTGGAGGACAGTGATCCTGTCCCAGGTGGCAATTCCTTTGTAGGCAGAGTCCTCCTTGCATCTTAGACCCCGAGGGTAAGAGGTGGGGATGGCTACGGAGGAGCACCTGCTTGGGGGTGCCCTGTGTCTGTCCTAGCCAAGTGCTCTCCTGAACATGTGGTATCTGGCTGTGCGTCTGTGTCCTTGTGCCTCACCTGGGGCGGTGTGTGTGCTGGATTGTGCATTTACAAGGGGTACATCTTTCCTTATCTCACTGGCTCTGCGCAGGGGCCCTGAGCCCAGCAAACCCCGAGGTGTGCTAGAGCCCAGCTCTCAGCCTTCCCACTCCCAGCTGTCCCCCAGGCCCTTTGTCCCTGCACCTGTGAGGCATGAGGAAGAGGTGTGGGAGCCTGTCAGTGTCCTAAACACGTGCGAGTGCAGCCTCAGTGTTGTGACCGTGTAGAAGTAGAAGTGAGCCTGACTCACAGCCAGGCACAGCGCTGTGGACACATCTGTGTCCCCCACATACTTACTATGGGCCAGGAATGGTGCCAACTTCACAAGAGTCCCTTGGGGTGGCTGCACCCCTTCTCACCCCCTTGTTGCAGACAGGAGACTGAGCTCAGAGACGTGAAATGGTGAACAGAGTAAGTAGGGCTGCACCTGGTCCTAAGAGCCAGGCGGGTTGGTTGAGCGCTGCCCTGTTAATCCATGCTACGGAACAGGGGGTGGGGACCTGAGGACTCGGGCATTACTTGTCGCCTTATAATAAACCACTTAGTCTCTGCCCTCAGCTGGACTCCAAAGTCCCCCTCTTCCTGCCACTGCCCACCTAACAGCAGCACTCCGTGCTCACATCTCCACTGGGGCTGTGGGGAGACAGATTCGGGGCCAG